ACTCGACAGGTACAGAACGATTTGGTTTGTCCCAATTCATATTACTCAAAGTACCAAAATTCAACTACCAGTCCTTTATCACTTCAGACGAGTTGGGAAGAATAGATCTCATACACTTGCTCGTGCCGTAGACCTGCAGTCCTCCTGAACGACTGCATCTTCACGCCCTTCACCGGCCTCTGTCGTCAAGACGACCAAGTTGAGGAGGCAGCAGAGGCGAAGGAAGTGAAGTGGGGTGGGCATGCTCACTTGGGCAAGAAGACGACCCGCTCAGGCGTCATCGACGACGGGTCCGCCGCGTCGATAGCGCACGTACTTCTTCTCCATCGCTTTGGCGATGGCTGCAGTCACCAAAGTGATGAAAATGAGGATGCCGTAGTTGATGGCCGAGGCGGCGGCGAATTGTACCACCAGACTCCACGGCGACGAGTCGTAGCGAATGTACTTGTCGGGCTGCGCGATTGCGTCAGCTCGGTTCACGGCATCGCCGACTGGCAGTCGGCCCAGCAACAGCATGAATAGCCCGACGACCAGAGCCGGTTGGTGGGCGTCGAGGCGAGGGCCGGTGTGCATGACGAGGGCGGTACGGAAGACCGGAACTGGTCACGGGACTCGACTCAGAGACCCGATAAACGAGCGTAGCCGGGGCAAGACGACGAGTTGCTGAGTCGGTTTCGGACGTCTCGACCGGCCGAGCCCAGTCTTATAGGCTGGTAGAGCGGATTTTCTTGTTAAAGTTAGTGATGATGCTAATGCTGATGCTGACATTGAGATGTTGGTAGAATTTGTGCCACATTCACACCGGGTCAGGTGTGTAGGCGCTGTCAGTTGTCAAGTCGACGAAGCACGGGCCGTCACTCCGATTGGACGCATCACAATCGCTACTGGAATCGGCATCAGCATCATCATCAGCAGCAGCAGCAGCAGCAGCAGCATCAGCGAGGGCTTGATGGCCGATTTGTGGGGGTGGGTGGGATCTCAGCCCAACAACAATGCCGTCTCGGAGGTGGTGCTGACCGGTGGCCCAATTCAGTCGAGGCAATCCTGGCGACAGCCGATCCGGCCGCAGTTGTCATCGCAACTTGACTGACAGCCGGTCAGTCGTGGGGCCGTTGACCCAATCGCTCCGACAACGGACAAGCCCGCCGCTGACGGACACGAAGAGAAGAGAGACGGACTCGCCAGGCCCGAAGATGATGGGGGCCCTGAAGTTGTTGCCATCACAAGACAGACAGACGGACAGACGGACGAACAGACAAACGCACAGACATTGTTCGTTTACATTTAAGATGCCGAGACTGTCTGCGACACCTTTTTGGAAGGCAAGGCGATGTGATATGAAGTGGAAATGTGATGTAGGAAAATTGAACAACCAGCCCTCCACCACCCCAAACGAAATAGGGTGGATACATCTCACATAAATGTACAGACTGACGTGCAAACAGGTCAGAAAGGAAGTCAATCTGGCGGGCAGATGGACAGATGTACATGTGGACAGACATGTCCGCTCATACAAGCCGACAAACGGGTATAGGGACAGACTCATGTATCTGATTTACTGGTAGTCTAATCAACCAAATCGGGAGGAGAAATAAGTAATTTCGTCGATCGCCGTAGCAAATAGAATGTAGCTTCAAAGACTGCTGATGAGATCGAGATTGGGGTTAAGGTTAGGGTTGGGGAAATTGAAATTGACTCTCATGATTGCGGGAGAATTCAACTACCGCTCCTTCATGACCTTCAATGAAATGTGGTGAATATAATTCTTGATTACGATTGCATCGTGATTGCCATTCATTTCATGTTGAGCAGGACTCGTTCACGATCCTTGAATAACCGCAAGCGACGTAAACTAACCAATTTCTTATTCAACCATTAATGACAGGAGGCTGAGCCCAGAGCTGTTTGGCATAATCGAAGGGCGACCTTCTTTTGGTATCGGATGAGTCATTTTCATCCGTCCTGTCAAAAATAATAAAAGGTGTGCTAACATCAGAGTTCTTTTTGCTCGTCAAAACCTAATGTTACCCAACATGTCTTGGCCCAAACTTGAAATGCGTGCCCATAAGACACCTTAAACCGGTGATTCCCAAACTGTGCGTCGGGAAATATTGCAAAGGCGCCCATTTGAGAAATTGTGCAGTGATTTGCAGGCTCGTCCATCACATTAATTATTAAATATCAATTTAATGATAATAAAGTTAAAAAAATAATGAAGATACACGAGTTTTACTCATTTGTATCTCTTACTTACGAATAGTCATACTTAGGGTAGGGCGCCGCGTCTATGAAAATAAACTAGAGTATGATCCGGTATTATTCGAATCAAGTATTGTTGTCGTGACTACCAGTAAATCAGTAGTATGACATGTATTCACCCATAATCTGATGGATAGAGCTGACGTCTCCGTTGAATTTCATAGAACCTTGCTTTCCCAAAAGTTGTTCTCATCCAGGCACCGGTGGACTGCAGCTTCGACCTCGCATCAACTGGTCTTATCAACACCCCCAGCGGGAGTCGAACCGTGAACGTGAAACATGTGAACTCGACACGCTAACCACTCGGCCACGATTGTCCTCGGGTCACAGGGCAGATGTGAATTTCAAAGAAGGCCAGGCCTTTTCGCATATCACATTCTTTGGTGGGATTGTAGATGAAGCAAACGTACATTTGCTATAACAATCGACTACGTTACTTTACTTTTCGCATTTAATTATTGTTTAGTAATATGACATGTACTCACTCTGGCAAAGCATCATTGGTAACCTTCAATGGGAGACAAGCACAAGAAAGGGTCTTCGTTAGTCCGTTGTCGTGCTGTGATGTACATAAACTGAATGTGTTTGTTTCATTTAAGCTGAAGATACGCTTAACTGTGAATAACAAGATTGTGTGGCCACCATTTTGGTCGCAGTCTACTTTAAATGTATATAAGTAGTCTGACCTCGGTTCCGCATTTTAGTCGTGTTGGCCCGTGGACCTGGTGCATTACCAGAGCTCTACTTCGATGTCTGCGAAGCGTCTGAGAATGTGACGCCGGGACTTATGATAAATACTGTAGCAGACGACTTCAGGCAAGGTGCACTCAACTTAGTTGCCCTGGCAACACGACCAAATTGCGAAAACGAGGTCAGATCACTTTTGAAGATTAGCTTGTTTACAACAAGGCCATTGTCGTAGCCAGAAATGGGCATGGTT